TGGGTAGAGATAAGTATGGAGATAAGAAAAAAAATTGTCCTGAAATATAGTCCTAATTCAAATCCAATCATCTGTAGTCTTTCTTTTTTGGGGGGAGCAGAGGGTACTGGAGACTAAATCCAGGGATGCTTAAACACTGAGTCACATCACAACCCCTTATTATTATTATTATTATTATTTATTTTGAGTCGGGATATTGATAAGTTGTTTAGAGCCTCACTAATCTGTTGAGGCTGGTCTCAAACTTGTTATACTCCTGCCTTGGCTTCCCTAGTCAATAGGATTACAGATGTGTGCCACCATGCCTGGCTTCATCTATAGATTTCTATTCTTTCTCAATACTAACCAATAGAAATATAATGTGAGCCATACATGCAATTCTAATGTTTCAGCAACTGCATTAAAAATAATTAATTGCAATTGATATTAATAGCATATTTTAACTTAATATATAAGCATTATTATATGTAATAAATATTAAGTATTACTAAAATAACTTATACTTTTCTAACTTAGTCTTTAAAATCTGATATAATTTATATTTACAGGAAATCTTAATTTTGATGTTAATTTTTCATTGAATCTATACTTATAGTCCATAAATTTAGCTTAAAAATGTAGATTTATTCTGATCAAATTGTCTAAACACACTTAAAAGTTTTCAAATAACTAAAATAGTTTTTAAGTTTACATTTAATTAATGTAAATTAAATAAAATGAAATATTCAGGTCTTTTTGCAATATCTATCTTTCAATTATTTGAAAACCACATGTGTATTGAACATCATATCTCTGAATGTTGCTATTAAATAAAATGCATTTCTCAGAAAAACTAAACTTCTTAATCTCAGATAAATTGAATGGATGCCATTCTGCCCAATTTAGTCATCAAATACACTAATTTTCCTTGCAATTAGTTTTTACTTAAACTGCCTAAAAGTACCTCAAATTCCCTTCTCATTTATTTATGACATTTACCAATTATTCTGCTTTATACACATTATAAAACCAGCATGAACACCGCTTTGGAATTTTTATTCACTGTACATTGGAATTTCATTCATATATGTATAAAGACCTTCAATAGCTTAAATTGATTAAAATGTCAGGTATCAGTCACACTTGACCTCTGATTTGTTTCAAAGCATGACTTAAAATGCATTTTTATTCTTGGCAATCTCATTTTGTTTCTGCTTTTTCTATTTTGTTTTTGTGTTTTATAACTTTAGCAGTTGAGCTTCATCAGGAATGGACTAAGAAAACTGGCTTAAGAAATAAATGTTTCACAAATTCATTTCTACACTAGTGCTTCTGTACTGACTTAATGTTTTACTTTTGGAAACTGTTTACTATAAATGATGAATTAACAGTTTGAAATGAAATTCCAAATCTGACTGTAAACATTAAGTACATGCTGGCAAATAAGTGTGTGGGATTGCTGGAATAGAATAGTTTGTTTAAAGTCAAAAAATTAAATTAAGGAACCATCTTACAGTAACATACCACATAAGACAAAACTAGAGTGAATAAAATAGAAAAGAGAAAATCAATTATGATTCAATAATGCCACTTTCCCGATCAACTAGAAATTATCGAAAGTGCATTTTTTACAGGAAGTTTGATGGCATAATTTTTTGAGTTTTTAATCTGTGAATATTAAGTAGGCTAATTTAATTATGACAGAAAGTACAACAATCAGAATCACCTGAGAGAGAAACATTCATTTTTCCGGGAACATTAAAATTATCTCAAAGCATTTTTATATCATAATTTTAAGTTGTTCTCTTATTATTGTCTATCAACAAACAAAGTTTTTCCAAACTTGCATAGAAACCTTAATTTAAGGTGGAATAAAAGAAATGAAATTACAATGATTGTTGTAATTTTTGGTAAATTATGGTTGTAAAATGCTCAATTATCTGACATTAATCCAGAAAATAATACAATGAGAAGGCTTTTGTATATGTTCAACATGCCTTTCCATAATAGAATTTTGATAATAATTTTTGTTTTAATGAGTTTGAGAAGAATTGGGAAAGTTTAGAAGTTGTACTTCTGGTTTTTTTTTTTTTTTTTTTTTTTTTTAATTCCTTTATGTATCTAACTAAACAATTTATTTGCATGTTTATTTTAGCTGTTACTACATTTTTTTTTTTCTTTATACCATGCAATGCCATTTTAAACCTAGAGCAGTTGCTTTTGTGCCTGGCTAGTTTAGCTTGTGGAGTCAAAATATTAATGCAAACAATGGCATGGATTTGAATATTTTATTGTTTTTGTCCCTTTATATAATGCTGACAGAATAACACCATAATTCAAACAGTTATCTTATGTCGGAACCGCCCTCCGACAGAGGTTGAGGAGAATCACTAGACCAGCTAGTGAGTGTCTCCTGTCTGAGCAAGAGGGTAAGTGTCGCAACCCGGCCCGCCAACCAGCCTGGCAAAAATCACAGGGAGTCAGGAGTTGAGTCAGCGGAGATGGCGCAGCAACTCAGTTTATTGTGAGGGAGAGGACTTATATAGAGAGAGGAGAAGAGAAGTGGGGGCAAAGGCAGGGGCCAATCAGAGATCGGAGAGTCCCCCAGATTGGGGTAGCCTAGGCACCCCAGTTACAGAAACAACACCCCATTAGGTATGTGTGCCCCGTTGCTGGGGAGTTATTCTTTGTGTTTGCGGAAGCCATATCTTGGGGCCGTTCAGGCAAGTATATGGAAGCCATTTCTCAAGCTCTAACTGTCATGTACATGGAGAATCACAAAACCAGAATCACAAGACTGGGGATTTCCCAACAGTGGTTTTTCTTCCTCTTTCCCCAGCGATTGCACTTCCATGGTCAGCAGAGGTCCCAACAATCTTATGAATATATACCTTGACTAAAAACATGTATGCTTTTGTCAGCATTTTCGTTGTTGTGGTCAAAAAAACTTGACAAGAACACATAGAGGAGAAAAAGTTTATTTGAGGTTACCTTTTCAGAGGTCTCATTTCATACACAACTGACTCCATTGTTCTGGGCCCAAAGTGAGGCATAACATCATGGTAGAAGGGCATAGAGAAGGAAAGCAGGATGACGATCAGAAAGGAGGGGGTGTGGCCAGGAGGGAGTACTGTGCAGTTCTGTGCTTACCAGGGACAAAATGTAAACCCCCAAAGCCATGCTCTAGTGATCTACCTCTTCCAGCCACACCCTACCTCCTTACAGTTGGAAACCAGTTAATCCACATCAGTGGATCAATGCACTGATTAGATAAAGTCTTTCATAACCCAATAATTTCACCTCTGAAGATTCTTTCATTGTCTGACACATAAGCGCTTGAGCGACACTTCATATATAACACATAACAATGTACCTTTGTACCTTATGTGAAAATGTCTTTGTAAAGAGAGCAAAACTACACAAATGACTGTGATAATTTTTGATTACTAATAGGTTTATTCATGCATAGACTTGCATGAATAATGTACTTTACAGGGAGCCCCAGAAGATTTGTATATGAAACTGTCCTGCTCCCATGTTTGGTACTGTTCTGTTTAGAGGGGGATACAATATGCCACATCCTCACTGGTTTCTCACCCCTGGGTCTACCTCAGTTGAGTGTGGACTACAGTACTTCTTTCTAAGACTCATGATTCTCAGTCTGGTTTTCTACCTGGTTTGGATATGAGCTCCAAAGAGTTCTCTGAATATCTGAGAGTTGTTAACTTAGATGGGGAAACACATTTCTGGTAGTTAATTTAAAGGAATAGTTGCTTACATAGGTGTGTTCAATACCCCTTATTCTCCCTACATGTTTCTTACTGCTTCCCAAGTCCCTAATACAGAGGTTCTCAGCATCCTTTTTACCCAGAACACTGTGAGAGAGGGAGAATACACATAGATTAGTAATTCACTCTAACCATGTAGAGGATAATTTCCACTTTGGACTCAGACAAAACAAAATTTGAATACAAATTTTATTGTATTTTACGTATGTAACCATAATATGTTTTACTGTCTAACTCCAAGGAATTCCATCTCTAAAATTGTGATAATATTTGTTCATAAATCTGCTTGAAGTCTGGGAAGGTGGCTCAGTGGTTGAACAATTACGTAGCACACATGGGTGTGATCCCCACTACTGCAAAATAAAAAAATAAATCTGTCTCTAAAGCAGAAAAATATTTATTAAAGCAATTTAAATGATATTTCAACATTATAAATTCAATACAATTATTTACTAATTTAATGCCAACATATTACTGTTATTAACAAGTATAAAAATAAAATTACTTTCTATGACATAAAATTGATTTGGCCTTTATTATTCTGAATATCTACATAAGTCTTTATATAAGAAATTTTAAATAATTTGCATGTAAATGAAGCCTGATTCCACTTGAGCTCTTTTGCATATTTTATTTATTGTGAATGAGAAAACACAAAAATATTTTTAATGCTGAATGTGATGATGGAAAAGTTACTAAAAGTTAACCATATTATAACAAATGTATAGTATAACATCCATAACTATTAAATTTTAGGAATTTTATCTGACTCATTACATATTCCAATAATTATAGAAATAAACCAGTTCTAAATGTAATTTTGTCTCATATTGTCCATATTACCTCTTATTTAATCTGTATGAGACACCTTATAATTTGGTATTTTCTAAAGATAGAAACATCAGACAAACATATTTGATTTCAGTCATTTTTTTACTAATATTAAATATCAATAAAATGGAGCTTTAAAATGCCACAATAAAAGAATGATGAAATATATTTCCGAATTTACTTGAATTTTATAGACATTTTTCTTTGGAGAATTTAATTTGTATAAATAATAGTTATGACCTATCATTCTCACCTTTAAAACTGTCCAGCAAAAATAAAATGTGATGTTACAATTCTCTTACAGTTAAATTATGTAGCCATCATCTAGACTATAAAGTATGTTCTGTTTCCTCAAATCTTGCGTGATTTACTATTTTTGTGTTTAATTTTCTTTTCTATCAGACAAAAACTGCAGCAGATATTGACAAGTGTATGTCCAAAAGCTGTAAAACTCGAGGTGTAGGATTTTACTATAGTTGTCTACCAGGTAAATAATCAGACATTTATATATTTGAGGCCTATGAAATGAACTTTCTTTCAAATTAATGTTTTTCAATTCACTGGAGTTTAGCTCTAATGTGTTAACAACTCTCTAAGAGTTCTTATAATCTCCATAGAAATATTAGACTGTGAAAAAGACACATTTACTTTTCCATGCATTTTTAGAACTATATCAAAAATTCAGCAACTATGGCTGTATAAACCTGGTATCATAGCAGCCTTTTGAACTAAGACAAATAGTAACACAATATTTAGGAAATTCATTGTAAGCTCTTAATTGTAGAATTTCTTCAGAGATTGTTAATGTTTATTTCTCTTTTTTTCTATTAAAAAGTTTGAGTAAACATGTGCCTATGTCAGCACATAAATTATCTAGAACTATGTAAAAAGATGTTAATTGATATAAGTAAAAGAACCATAGATGTTTATTTAAGATTTCCATCCTTTAAACAATCCTTAATAAATTGAAGGTGAAAAGTTTTATAATAAGTTGTTGGTGACTCTAAAAACATTTAATAAATGTGAATCCATGTGGGCAGTGTTTTACTACATCCTAGTATCACTGCATTGTACAAGTGAGTAGATAAATATTAAGTCCTTGATTTTTAATACATGCCCTCAAATTCCTGGTTGGATATAAACATAGTCTGAAACCTTCTGAAATGTTCAAAACAGTGACTAAGAACTCATGTTCTCAACTTTAATTCCTCCTACAAATATACTTAATATAACAAGAAGATAGCTTGAGAAACACAACATGAAATGAAAATTATATACATTTTTTTTAGGCAGTGATTTTTAGTGTAATTATATACAGTGACTTCTTGCTTATACCAAGTGATTTTAATATCTCCTCAAGGTCTTCATCTGTGGAAATTACTTAAACTATTAGCTAATACGCCTTAGTTCTTATAGTAAGTTTGTCTGAACATTTATTCTGCTTTTCCTGCGTGCAATGGTCGCATGTCAGTCTACCAAGTCATATTTCTCTCTTAAAACAGAGGCCTGAATTTATCTGGCACCATATTCAATTATATTCCTTCAAACTTTCTAACTTAAAACCCTCTCTAAATAATTCCTCTGTCGCACAGAGCAGCTTCTTTCTTTGCACTGTTCATTTCTATGATCTGTCTTTGCCATGGATGCTATTGCTATGCTACCATTTTGTGCCCACTGCCTCACTGTTGGGAATGTTGTTATAAATTCTGTTCCTGTGTGGGAAGTGGAAGTCTCTTGTTGCAATTTAACCTGAAAAGAAATTTAACAATATGTCTTTTATAAGATTTTTAAGTTTTCTTAAACAATGACCCAGAGGAGTTTTTATTTAATAACATTTTACCTTATGGTTTCTCCAAGTTCTCACAAGGACCTTGAGTAGAAGCAGACATGTTCATAAAGCACTGAGGAAAAGGTTGTATGAAATTCACTCAGAAAAATCATTTAGGAGTTGCAATACAAGTGAAAACACAATTTTGTGTTGTTATATCCATGATGAACCTGAGATTTCCATGTTGGTCTAATCATAGATGCTGAAGAAATGAATAATTACAGAGTTCAGAGACAATACTTGCCATGGGATCAGGAAATTCCAGTCTCAAAGAAAATTGTACATCTCCAATTTTCAGAAAAAAATCTAGTTTTGTATTTTCATTTTTGATTGATGAAATACATAAAATCACATAAAATTAATGTATGTCTTAACAAGATCTTATTAGTTGAACAAAGTAACATGCCTTTATAACAACCACCAGGTGAACAAAAGAACTTTACCAGATATAGTTGAAGATCTCTATATGCCCTATGGCAATACAAACCCCTCCTTTTTGACACCAGAAATGATACCAGTGTTGAAAATTGGGATCCAGGTGTTACCGATGTTGACCGGTGAGGAGTCCTTGCTTCCCCAATGTTGAAGAATAACGCCAGAGAAGCACATCGAGGCAAGGTCAGAGTGGAAAGTAGAAGCTTTATTAAAGGACAGCAGAAAAGACTTCTCCTGGAGGAAGAAGGGGACCCAAGAGACGGAATCCATTGAAGGACAAATGTGTTCCCCTTTTTATAGTTCTTTCAATGATGGAATGTAGGTGGGAAGGCCTGAAGGGTGGGACACAGGTGGTCCAAAGAAATGATCTGGGCAGGAAGGACTTTTAAGTCAGCATCTTCAAGTTTGCTGGGAGCTGTTCATTAACACTTCTTTGGGATGGGCTCTGGGCCTTGGGGACATTAACATTCCTTGAGTTGTCCTGGTTTCCTGGACTTCATTAACATTCCAAGAGTTGTTCAGCTTTTCCCGGAATTCATTCTCAACATGGCCTCCATTTTGGATCTTACTAGATATTAGACCTGATTTACCTAACTACACTGACTACCTAACTTTAAATCTGGCTTCACAGGTCCTGTTCCCCTGGTGTTGAAGATTGAAAGCTTGAGAAACACTAAGGCAAGAGCAAAAAGTTTTATTTTTCAAACAGAGAGAGAGAGAAGAGGAACTCCTCTTCAGAGGAGGGGATCCAAAGCTAGTGTCCCAGGGAATGGGAGTGTCCTGCCCCTTTTATAGGTCTTAAGTTTCCTTTCTTCTCTTGCCCTCTCCTCTTCTTACCTTGCCCAAGTGATCAAAAGGTAGATAAAACAAAAGGCAGGAAAGGAGCTGTCCAGGTGTACAGGCAGGAAGGGAGACACTCAGAAGGCATTCATTAACAACTCCTTGCTGGGAGGAACAATTCCCTGGAGCCAGGTAACCTTGGTAACTGGTTGTTAGAGGTGGGATGTACTCTGGAGGTATTAGCATTTTATTTCCTTTTGAATCACCCAAATCTTCCTGACCCAATCATTTATTTTTTACACTGACTGTTCTTTTTCCCCCTCACTTTCCACAAAAGTAACTCAAATGAATTATATAGAAAAAATTAGTTGCTTTTCCAATATATTTTTTTGAAATGCTTATTTCCTTACACCAGAGTTTAGTTGTATGTCTTTTAAAAATGTGTTTTTAAAGTAAATGGAAAAATTACATTCTTTTCTGGAACTGCCAATTCGAATCCAGAATTTCTGGCAGTCTCTAATTTACAATGGTCTGACTTTTGATATTTTGACTTTAAAACAGTACAAAGCTGGGCTGGGAATATAGATCAGTGGTAGAATGCCTGCCTAGCATGTGGAAGGCCCTGGGTTTGGTCCACCTATGCCCAAGGGGAAAAAAAAAATACTAAAAAAACTATGTGCGTTCAGAAGAAAATGCACTTCATAATTTGAATTTTGGTCTTGTCCTGGGCTAGCAGTATGTAATATATGGCAGGATACTCTGTACTGCACACCAGCATTGAACTGCTGCTCCCAGCCATTCTCACAGTCATGGGGGTCAGTATTCTGAGTGCATTCAGGGTAGACCTAGTAAAGTTTGATACATTTAATTTTAAATGTACTCTCAATTTGTGATATTTTCAATTTAAATGAGATTTAGTGTTTTCTGTTATTTGTGTTCATTTAGGCATTTTCACTGTCTATAAGGATACTTTCATGTTTCTGATTCTTTGTGTTTTAATAATTTTTTATTTAAGTGAAACGTGCTGTTTTATTTTTGCTCATTTTCATACATTAATAGCCTTTCTGGTATTTAAAAAGAGACAGAGTTCAGGCTAGCTCCTTTCTGTTCACAGGGCTCTGTTCATGGTTTTGTTTATTAATTGATTATTGTTTCAGTATATGGTGGCTTGCCAGCCAAAGTCTCAGATTTGTTCCCAGACCCCAGTTTCTCAAATCTTTCTTTCTATTTTCCCTATTCTGCTCAATTTCTATTTTATGCTCAGCATTTTCTCCCTGTAGGTGATGTCTTGTTTTGAAAGAGACCTTTGGCAGCTTAATTGTGTGAGTTTATAGGAATACATTTACCTGGAGAATTTAAATCTTACACACACACACACACACACTCACACACACACACACATATAAATGGTGCACCATATAGTATATCTCTTGGTATATCTATATATTGTATATTGTTTAAATCAGGTTAAACATATCTGCATATCTGTCTCCTTAATCAATCATTTCCTCATGTTGAAAATATTCAATATCTTTCGTTGTAACTTTTCAAGATATATAGTACATAAATGTTTTTTTTTTAAAGAGAGAGAGAGAGAGAGAGAGAGAGAGAGAGAGAGAGAGAGAATTTTTTAATATTTATTTTTTAGTTCTCAGTGGACACAACGTCTTTGTTTGTATGTGGTGCTGAGGATCGAACCCGGGCCGCACACATGCCACGCGAGCGCACTACCACTTGAGCCACATCCCCAGCCCCAATAGTACATAAATGTTATCCATAGCAACATCATTATGCAATATCATGCCAGAACTTCTTGCTACTAACTGTAATTTAGTCCCCAATCCCTCCTCCTGTCCTACAATCCTTGTCATTCTCTTTTCAGCCTATATGAGATCAATTTTTTAGGTTCTACATATGGGTGAGATCAGCCAGTACTAGTCTGTGAAGCTTATCTTATTTAATGTAATGATCTCTAGTTTCATCCATGTTGTCACATATTACAGAATATCATTCCATTTTCCATTGCTTGTCCATTGTTAATAGTGCTAAAATAAACTTGGGAGTGTAGATGTCTCTTCAGCAGAATGACTGTATCTCTTTTGGCTTATACCCAGAAGTGAGGTTGCTGAATCACATAGATAGTTCCTTTTTACTTTTTGGAAGGATCCCATGATAATTTACATTCTCATCAACAGTGTGCAAGGCTTCACTTTTTTCCACACCTTTTACCAGCAGGTGTTATCTTTATTATCTTCATTCTTTTTGATAGTAGCCATTCCTAGTAGGGTGAGGTGATAGCTCCCAGTGGTTTGATTTGCATATTCTTGGTAATTAGTGATGTTGAACATTTTTTTCATGTACCTGACACTTTTATGTCTTCTTGTAAGAAATGTCTAGTTATGTCTATTTTCCATTTTTAAATTGAGTTATTTGTGTTGTTTGTT